TAAATAATTAATAAAAAACAACGAGACAATCATAATCAAAAGAACACCGCGCTTGGCAGACTCGAACATTAAATTGTTGTACTGCAGTTGGGTAAAAGTTGTTTATAATAAATTGTCTTGGCTGCGTGGACGTCATTTCGCTCTTTGTAAGAGTAGAGTCGGTCTTTTAACGATATCTAGTGGACAAAAATAGCTTCATTTGTGTCTAAACATCGGGCATTAGGTAAAGCGTGAAAAAACCCGAAACAATTGGGATGGATTTTTGGGACTGCTCCCCGAAATATTCCAATTCTTATGGTCCAAAAAGTACCAGATATCGTTTGAGACAGACTGTACATTTAATAAGTCGACTCACACCTTATAGCAAAATTCTTCAAAAAATTATCGAAAAAAACTCAGTTTGTTCTGTGTATTTTCTCGTTAATTTGGGGTAATAACACAATTAATAATACCATTTATTGACAAACAGAAAAAATGAAATAATTTGCTAAATGACTTTAACCCCATTTATGTTTTTGGTTGTGTTATTGGAAAATAGTTTAAATAATAATAATATTTATTAAACATCCCAAATTTGCATTTTTTTTCAAAGAAAAAAAATAAGGTTTTTGGAATAAATAAGGTTTCCAGACTGACTTTAGCAGTATTTAGTGGGATGCTCGAAAAAACAAGGATGCTATTTTAAAAATTATAATGAAAAATTGTTTTTAAATTAACTTATTAAAAGTGAAATTGAATATACTATATTAAATAGTTGTTTTAAAAATAATCAAGACAAATAGGATGCTGTATAAAAATAAATCTAATAAATAAATATCATTTTAACTATGTTTTGGTTTAAAAATCAAAACAACTTTGAAACTATAAACTAAATTAACCCTTCGAAGACTTAAAAATTTTTATTTTTTTTCCTATTTTTTGAAAAAAAATTTCAAAAAATAATTTCACTTTTCCAAAAAAATGAAAATAATGGCGACTTTTCATGAACAATTTAGAATTTATTTTGACTTATTTGATAAAATAGTTCAACTTAAATTCATACTTTTGTATTATTTATATGTCATTCCATCGCTTATAAACTTAAATTAATTGGTTTTTGATAGAGATTTGACCTTCAATTAATAAAATATTTAATTTAACAAATTAATATTAGTAATAAAAATAATACGAAAATAAACTGTTTTCACAAAGAAATAAAAATGTTAATAAAAATTAATTAAATAATTTTGTCCGATATTCAAGTTTTTAATAATTAACATAAAAAATACTTAAAACTTATGCAAAACAATGGGTTCAATATAACCAATAAGATTGGTTTAAACTAAAATAAAATATGAACACAATAAAATAATGTTGTCGAAATATATAAATGGATTCCACTTAAATTAAAAATAGGTAGAGAACTAAATAACAACAAAATATTACAATAAAAACCCGCTATTTACTATTATTAATGTTTATCATTTAACTAACACAACAATAACATTAAAATAATTATCTTATATGGTAAAACAACGCTATAAAACATTTATTTAAGTCGAGAAAAATAGCTGTTTTGGATACATTATACAAAACATGACAAAAGAATAATAAATTGTATAGTATATTTAATTATAAATGAACTATATAATATCAACTTTTAAATAATAAAAATGATAGTATAATTATTAATTATTTTATGATTGATTATAACAATATTTAATAAAACTAAAGCAAATAAACCCCAATACAAATAAAATTAATTGAGCCTTGATCATGCATAATCCTTATTCATGATTTATTCATAATTAGCAATAGCCTCCATTTTGAGACATTTGTTTAGGCCTGAGCGCATTAATGTTTTACCTTCAAAGACCTCGTTTTCATACAACTCCTCTCTGATATCGACATCGCACTTCGTGATTGAGTTGTAAGTGATCTCTTGGATAACTGATACTTCTGTACCAAGGAATGATAGCTGGAATGGTGCTTCTAATAATCCCAATTTCTTTTTCCAATGGTGATGACTTGGCCATCTAGAGGTTAGATTGACTACTCGAGTTCTGATGATGATGTAGCCTTATGCATTTCTCTATTGAAGTCAAGTTCAATGTACAAATACCAATCTGTGTTTAAAGTTCACAAAATAATTAGTACAATTTTTTATTTTATTTTTAAACGTGGTAAAAAAGTCTTTTGTACATTTTTAACACAATTAATGGAACATAATTACATGTACTTTCAGGAAATTACGATAAAAACGCAAGAAAATATAAGATAATTTGTAACAAATTGTCTTGTATATTATGTTGGTTTGCCGTGTTTTTATTTGAACTATAAATTTGATTGCAATCAATCTCTAATTATTCAACTCTTTTTTATTTATTTATGTATTTTTGTCAAGTATATTTCTGTATAATTTTGATATTTTATTGTTATTTTTATAAACAAAAACAATATATTATTATTTATTTAAATAAATATATTATTTAAATAATTATTGATTAAACAACAAAAATACCATCGATACTAAACACAATCGGTTTATAAAACGAATTATTTTAATGTTGTTATTGGTTGTCTTGTTGTGTTTATATAAAAATAATATAATAGTTTAATAATAAAGTTTAAATTTTTTTAAATAATGTCGATACTTGATATACAACAAAAAAAACTAAAAATGTTTTGTATCTGTTTTCAAATTAAAAAACTCGAATCATTTATTTTTTTGATAGATTTCAAAAAATAAAATATAATATATTTATATTATAATTTATTTACTTATTGATCATGATACAAGACAAAAAGGAAATTTAAATATATTTATAAAACGTTCGAAAATAAAACAATTAAAATAAAACAAAAATATACAAGCTAATTATTCAGATTTGAATAAGTTTAACAATAAATATAATTAATAACAACAATAATAATCAGTAATAATTTTGATTATTTCATAATAAAATTATCTATATAATAAATTAAATTTATTTATTTAATTATGATAATTATATTAATTTAAATTATTCTCGTATAATTTAAAAAATTACTGTTTTATCCACTAATCGTTTTTTATAGTAATAATATTATTATTATATCTATTTTATTTAAAACGTATATGAATTAATGTAATATAATTATATGTTTAATTAAAACAATAAATTTTTATCGCAAACAATTTTATCGAATTAAAAAAACATAAACCTTATGCAAGAAGACGAGATTGTTGGCACGTTCAAATGGAAAAAAGAAGGAGAAGCGCCAAAAAGCTCGAGACATGTCCGAGCCTCACCTGACCCGACTTACTCGTTTGATCCCAAAGGAAGTAATTTAACTGAAGTTGAGTGTT